TTTTTTTTTTTTTTTTTTTTTTTTAAATTTTTTTTTTTTTTTTTTTTTTTTTTTTGTAATACAATATGTATTTTATTTTATTTTTTTTAAGATGAATTTTTTTGTTTACTATTTTTAATTGCAAATTTTTGCTTACTTTTATTATTTACTTTTATATTTAAATTTTATTATTTCATTTTGAAATTTTTTTTTTTTATTTTTTTTTTTTTTTTAGTTATCCAAAGATAGCTTCATGGCTCATTCCTGCTGCATCTAGGTATTGCTGTAGTGCCTGAGATACATACTTTCATTGACTTTTGCAGGGCGCCTCGCAGGTGGCTTGCGACTATCAGTACCTGGCCGAGGCGGACACCATTTGTGGCAGCAGCAACGAGTGCCAGGCCTCGGCCCGCTCCGTGTTGATGATACTGCGCGGCACGCCCGGACGACAGCTGGGACCGCGCGAGTGCTTGAAGAATCCTTGCCTGTACCGGGCCATGCGTGAAATTGGGCTCTAAGCGAGCGGCAACAAGAGAAGCCAAAATATTTAAACAAAAAGAGAAAACAAAGAAACAAACTTACAAACATTTCTTAACGTCCTTTTGTGCGTTTCAAAAAAATACAACAAACAAATACTAAAATGATGTTAAAGCCAACAAAGAAACTTTGCTGAACTAGCAAATCAAAAGTTATTTGATTCAAAAAGCCAAAAAAAAAGAGAAAAAAAAAATTAAAAAATCAAAATAATATTCTATATAAATGTATTAAATAGGTGGCTAAAAATATTTGGATACATTTTGCTGTTGTCCTCCAATATGGCAGCAGCTCAACTAGAGACCTAAAAGCAAAAAAAAAACTATACTAAAATGATATAGACAAAACCCAAGCGAATTTCCAAGCTACATATACCGTAAACCGTACAACATGAATATATATCTATATGAAAATATATACATATATATGTGAATGTTGATTTGAGATTTTTCGCCAAGCAGTAGGCATCAGATTTGTAGTCCTTTAATGAATGCAACAGCTTATTGTTCATTTCGTTTTGAATGTAAACAGCAGAGTCTTTTTGGAAGCACATTTCAGACTATATAGTGCATATATTTGTATACAGTATATATATATATGTAATCCAAAATATTCATTGGTATATTCATAAATGTATTAACAGTTATTATTATGTGTACAAGTTCACTCTCAAAGAAAGTATGAAACTCAAGCAAATTCACGCAGGCAGCTACTTAGCAAATATATAGATACATATATATACAAATATGTCTATATCTTTTAGATACCGCCCATCAAATGCTTACGAGACAATTGCAAATATATAACTATATATTTATATAGTCCAACCAGTTATAGAGACAAATTTGACGCGCAAACAATGACACAAAAAATATATATATATATATATATTTAAAAAAAAAGTATATTAAAAATATATAGATATATAATATATGTATATCAAAGAGAAAATATATATGAATATATACATATATGAAATATAAATTTTGAGCACATTTAGTGTATATGAATGGTAACTTGATAAATCTTTTTTGAAATGTATTTTCAAATTTATTACTTGAGCCCAAAAACCGAAGATGAAACAAAACAAAAACCATTTAAAATGCACAATCTTTAACTCTTTGTCTTTAACTAACTCACACACTTAAACAATTTACTGTACACATTTGCAGCTTCGTTTTGTTGTTGTTGTTTTCATAGTATAATTTAATATACACAGAAGATAGCGAAAACGAAAAAGATTTCGAAAGTTACTAATTGAATGTCAGCTAAAAGTATGTATGTCTACGAATAAAGCATATACTTAAATGTGTTTCAGTGTAAAAACAATAAATGAAAATAACTAAGACAAATATTCTTTAAAATCTATAGATGTGATTATATAATATACATATATACATAAGGCAACAGCAAAAACAAAATACAGTAACAAAAAAAGTGGAAAATAAACGAAACAGAAAAATACACAACGGACACTTAAGAAACAGAATAGTAAATGAAATTTGCATTGTATTGAATCAAAATATTATTATAAATGTATTTACCTAAATATATATATAAATATATTGGTGTACGTACAAACTGCAGTTTGACAAAGAATTTAAATAAATAAATAAATATATATATTGCTATACAGTTATTAATGTAAAAATATATAATCGAGGTCTCACACAAATTGCTGAAAATATTTAACGGCATACAAATTCATAAATTGTCGCATGGGACCTCGAAACAAAAAAAACACACTTATTCGATTTATTCAATTGGTACGGGGTCACTTTCGAACTCGAATATATCGATACTTGGCTCTCCTCAAGAACAAAGGGCTCGCATTTATGAACTACTTTTGCAAGTCTCAAACCGCATTTGCTTTCGCCAACTTAGTCGATTTCATTCATTACAAATGTATTTTTTATAAATCTATCTGACGACATCTTGTTAAATCTAGCTAGCTCTTTTAGAGAGAGAATATCTGCATAGTAACCATTTAAATTTATTCAAGGTATATATAATTTCCGCTGGTTAACTTGGCAAATAATTCAAGTCCAGCTTTTAGAGATTCTGAGAGTTTCAAATTATACTTCGATAGATCATTTTATTATTTAAACATCGATAATTGTCGCGCCACTTTCAAACAGGGCTGTTAAATCAAACCAGCTGTTTTTAACAGAGTTTGCATTGCTTACGCTGTACGATTAAGTGTTGACAGGCTTTGTGTGTGCTGCCACATCAGAACAAGTTGTTGCTTTTTGTTGTGTGTTTAAAAACAATAACACCCGATCGAGGCTTAAAAATTTTGTCACAATAAATTAATAGTATGTTTTAGGCAGTAATAACACATTCGTGTGGTGCTCGGTTGATTACACATGTGTAAATAACGTGCAAATCGTCAATACGTTGAACACGTCAGATCTCTTTTAGTGCAGCATCCGTTGCCGATAAAAAGAAATATATCAAAAGAGTTCTTTATCAATCGGAACCGTAGAAGCACAACTGAGTCAGGCCAAGCGAGCATTAGAATACAGGCAAACATGGCAGAAACGAATATTGATGTTAGCGGCGAAATGGAAATGCCGTCGCGTTCCCCTGCTGGTGAAAACAAAGTCAACATTGATCTGCAAAGGTAAGTAGAAGAATCCAACTGAACCATACAGATACACCGTACATACATAATATGCTACTTTCAGCATACCCGCACTGCAGAATCTGCCTTCGCCGATAGAGCTGTTGCACTCGGTGCGACGATCGCTGCGTCCATGGACTGTATTCTTTAACTTGAATAACTTCAAGTCGGCTGTCAGTATGCAACGCCTGAAAAACCGTGTTTCGCGCAATCTATCATATTTCCAAAGCAACTACATATTCATATTTATTGTACTGATGATATACTGCCTGTAAGTATGATTATTTATTTACCTCCATTCCAAACAGTTGTTTAAATAGTGTTCACTTTCTGCTGCTGTAGAATTACATCGCCGGTTACTCTACTGGTTATAGCCGCCGTCGCCTTTGGCTGTCATAAGATACGATCGGTCAACAAGAACGTCTGCCTTGTGGGCTGCGAAGTAACACCACAGCAGCAAATTCTGGCTCTCAATTTGGGTGCGGCACCGCTGCTCCTATTGGCTGGCGCTGGCGCCGTTCTATTTTGGACGTTGGGCGCCTCCTGCTTTGTGATCTTCATGCATGCGGTATTCTACAACATTGATGCCATTGTGACCGAGGAAAACGACAGCTTCTATGTCTAATTAGCGAGCTTGACAACGAATACGAATATACTAGAATCTGAAAGCCGTAGCTAATTAGTTTCACCACACAGGGGCCTTATTAGACAATAAGTTTGCAATTTCTATATATACATACATATATATATGTATGGTTATATGTATTTAGAGTATAATTCTAACCATATCCGATATGTAATTTAGTTTAATCAGCAGCACAAGAATTGTTGCCTTCAACGTATTGACCAAATACACAACAAGAAACGATTTCATTTGTTTAAATATATGTATATATATATTTCTTTCAATAATTGCACATAAATGATGTATATTAATTATATAATGTGTAGTTAAAGCAATTTTGGCAAGAGTAGAAAATATGGAATGGTTGAAAGAGGAATGCACATAGTTAAATAAAATAAATAATACACATATCAAATAAATTCATTGAGGTATTTAGAACTAGAACTATATGAATGGCGCTTAGTTAGATTTACAAAATAGATAAGTCTCTTGGTCCAGGTGTGTGTGTGTGTGTGTGTGCGGAAACTAGGCATACTGTGAAAGCGATGTCGTTTCCTGCTCCTGCTCCTCATCGCTGGCATTCTGATCGAGCTTCTCGAACCCGTTCCGATCGAGCAGGCCGCCCAGCTTAAAACCCTCCGTCTTCTCCCAGGCATGACGGCGGTTGTGTGTGCCAAAGGGCAGGCAACCTGTTGAATCACAAAATTGAACAGGTAAAATCAAGTAATAAAATTGTTACAAACACAGAGAACATGGATATATATATATGTATGTACACGCCATGCAGCTCTTACGATCATGCAGCAACATTTGACTTTGCATCAATTTCATTCGCTGCAATATCAAAGAAATTAATACAAGGTAAACAAAAGACATTTAAGAATAGAGATTATTTCTTACATACGTATAAATTTATGTGTATATGTATTTTGTATAAAAAATATATTGATGTATGTTTGTTTATAGAGTAAGTAAAGATTACAAAATGAGATTCATGTTGGAGCAAATTCCAACTGATGGAAGGCAAAGTAAAGATCACGGCAAATCAACTTATAATAAACAATTACATTTTTACACACAACTAGAGAATGGAACTGGAACATATATGATATTGGTTAGCACAGACTTTGATTGGATGCTGCCAGCTGGCGATAGACCAAATCACTGGGCGGCATTGAACTGATCGCTTGATTACCTCGTTTGCGACGGCGCGCCATAATCAGCGCCAACGCAAATGTAGAGCCAGCGAACAGGAGCATCATTGATGCCACCATTATCGCCTTGCCACTAGGATGATGCGCTGTTTGCGTTTGATCAATATTGTTAATTGTTTCAGACATATTTGTTGCTGTTGCCGGTTCGCTTTTAGCGCTGCTATTGGTCTTCAGAGCAGACAGGGACATCGGCTTCGAAATGGATTTGTGCACAAATTTGTGTATACGCATAGGGTTCAGCTCAGCCACATAGATGCAATTGCCATCTTCGGTAACGGCCACATCGTGTGGATTCTCGAATTGTAGATTGTTCGGACCGAACTTGGAGATCAACTGCTTGGTGCGCATGTTCATCACAAAGCCATACACTAAGTTGGAGTCCGTTGGAGCTACACCCAGTTCGGCGGTGGGTCCATTAACAATCACCAGCTCTCCGCCTAGGAAACGAATTCACATTAACAATATTCAACGCATGTTAAGACAAGTCTCACCTGCAGCAGGTGTATAGGCCATGCTGAACAGACGATCGCCAATGAGTGGATTGTGGTATTGCGAATGGAATGTCCCATTGTTCGAGTAGAAGCATTGCACGCGTCCATTTTCACGATCTGCTGCGCACAGCAGCTCCAGTTCGGGCACCAACGTCAATGCATGTGGAATGGCGAAGAAATTGGGTGGCGCTACATCGTAGGAGAAGCCAGCAAAGGAGTTTTGTCCCCAGACTAGGATCTGTTCGCCATGCTTTGAATATTTGATAATGCGCGCATTACAGTAGCCATCCGCCACAAAGAAATCTGCATTATTCAACACGGCCACCGCGGTAGGCTTACAGAATTTGTTCTTAATGCCAGGATGAAAGGCAGAGCCAAGGGTGAGCAATGGTTTGCCACCTGCGCCTCGTGGTGGGAACTTGAATACCTGATGCAAGGCCACATCGGTTACCCAGACATTATCCTCGGGATCGATGCTCAAACCATGGGGCATGTAAAAGCTATAAAAACAAAAGGCATACATGAAAACAGTAGCAAATGGTTGTTAATGTTGAGAACTTACAAATTTTTACCCCACGAATAAAGCACTTTGCCCGACTCGGGCTCTAGGCCGAGCACAGTGTTCTCCCTAATGGGTCCCTTGCTGCGCTCCTGATATACGTTTGAATTGTTAAACGTTGTCTGGCTCCAAATTCGATCGACTCTGTGAAATACGACGACATTGCCGGCCTTATCAAAACTAACAGCAGTGACGGCGCCCAGTTTCACATTATTCGCTGGCCAGGCGTTCTGGTAGACATAAGCTGAAAATTAAGAACAGGTATAAGAACTATAAAACAGCTTTATTTATAGCTTACTCACTTGTATTCAGTTTGGCCATCTCTGTCTTTACGTCGGTCACTTCCTGCTTGGCACGTTGAGGCCAATTTGGCTCAGCCGCACCGACACCTTTCAGCATTTGGTGCAGTCGATCGCTGTTGCTCCCACTGGCAATGGCCACATTTTGTAGATAACGTTGATTATCGACATTCTGGGAAAAGATTAGACTGTATAATAAGGTTTCTATTTCAAATTTTGCCACGGTTGCATAAATTATTCAAAGCAGTCATTTACACACACACCCACGCACTCTCACACATATGGGCACATCTCAGTGCTAGCGTGTGACGTCACAAAACAAAATCAAAACATATGTTAATTTTTTTTAACATGCAGCTAATAAACTATTGTTCTGATTTACATGCAATTTACCTCGGTTACTGCAATAGATGCTGTCAACGGACAACCACAGCACAAAAGGACGCCAATTAACGCCAGATAATTGTAACAGCTACGCACACAATTGTTATAGTTGCTAATGTCGTTTTTTTTGTTGAAGCGCGACATTGTTTTCGCGTGAATTGGAATGTTGATCGTTGTTGGCGAACTGCTTAGGCTGAGCGTCAATTCCTGTGCAATATACTCACTATACTTGTCAATACGTTTTGGAAAGAAATGATTTATGTGGTTGCAGCAGCCATTTTAACTGGTTGATTGTTTCAACAGCTGGTAAGGGTGACCAGCTGGAATTGGACAAATATGTGGTCAATTTAACGATAAATATCGAAGGTGTTTAAAAGTATCGTTTTTAAGTGAGTATAAAAACGGTTCAATATACAATTTTTATTTAGTCAGTAAACTTTTTAGAAACAGGTAACATTTGAATTGCTTCAAAAATTCAAGTAAAAAAAAAAGAAAAAAACAGAATATAAACAGTAATTAAAGCTCCCGTGACTAAAAGTGCAAACATATACATACATCAGAAGTGCTGTAAACCGCAGTTGCTGCATATACGGAAATAACATACATATATATGTACATTTACAATGAAACTTGTAAATAGTTGTGTGTTTTTATTAATAATAGCAGCTGTTGCGTATGACAGCGAATGTAGCTTTATTGCAGCGGTTTCACAACTCAATAGCTTCAGGCATGACACTGATCCCGGCGATCCTTTGTTTTTAACGCCTCTCTTGAATAATGAGTCCTTGCCCAAGGAAGAAGTGCGGAAGATGGCACGCGTTGTGGGCAAACAATTTCTAGGAGTCGAAAGTTATGCGGGTTATTTGACCGTGGATGAGGCTTACAATTCCAGCCTATTCTTCTGGTATTTTCCTGCTGAGCGGGATGCGGATAATGCACCCGTTTTGTTGTGGCTTCAAGGAGGTCCTGGAGCTTCCTCGTTGATTGGACTCTTTCTAGAGAATGGTCCATTTAGGGTAGTCAATCAAAAGAAGCTACAGAAGCGAAAATATAGCTGGACTACCACACACAATGTCATCTTCATAGATAATCCTGTGGGCACCGGTTTTAGCTTTACCGATGACGATAATGGGTATGCACGTAACGAATACGATGTGGGCGAAAATCTTTATGAGGCAATAGTGCAACTCTACAAATTATTCGACTGGAGCAATTCGGCAGGCTTCTGGATCACTGGCGAGTCCTATGCTGGCAAATATGTGCCTGCGTTAGCCTATCATATCCATCAGACTCAAGCATGTGAGGATCACCAGGATAATATACCGCTGAAGGGTCTGATCATCGGCAATGGTCTCTCAGATCCTTTGAATCAACTCAAATATGGCGATTATCTGTATCAACTGGGACTTATCGATGAGAATGGCTTGGCGGAATTCCACCTCGCTGAGGCTGCTGGAGAGGATTGCATTAGGCGTGGGGACATGGACTGTGCTGCTGATGTATTCGACTCCCTAATTCTGGGCAATCTGCCAAGCAGCTCGCTATTCAAGAACTTGACGGGCTTCGGTTGGTATTACAACTATTTGCAAAGTCAGGATGAAGACTTTGTCGCACCACTTGCACGATTCGTGCAGAGAAACTCCAATCGTCGGGCAATTCATGTGGGCAGCAAGGCCTTTAATGGTATCGAGAAGGTGAAGGAGTTCATGAAGAAGGATATGATGGATACTGTGGCACCTTGGATAGAGGAGCTGTTGCATCACTACACTGTATGCATATATGCTGGGCAATTGGATATTATAGTGCCCTATCCATTAATCCGAAATTTTTTGAATAAACTGAACTTCCCATGCACCGATGAATATAAAAAAGCCCCTCGTCGAATCTGGAGAGTCGACGGAGAAATAGCGGGCTATATTAAGCAAGCTGGCAATTTAATTGAGGTATTAGTTAGGAATGCTGGACACCTGACTCCGCTGGACCAGCCCAAGTGGCTCTACGAGTTGATTAATCACGTGACTCACTATAGTGATTAAATTTTAAACTATTTACACCTGGTAAATGCTATTTAGCTCGATTGCTACGTTGAAATTCGATATAAGTTTTGTAAAACTTTGTACTATTTATATGCAATTAAAGTCATGAATATCCAGATTGTTTTGTTTTCATTTGTATGTATGGATAAGTATGTGTGAATTTCTTAGCTAAATTTATAATATAATGTTTATACTGGTGTTATCTTAATTTTAATCTTATTTCTAATTATAGAATATATTCAGTATGAAAACAAGCATCTTATCAGCTGAATATAAGCCCTGAGCCTAGTGGTTAGTGATAAAAGTCAACTCAACCAATTTTCAATTTAATGTATATTTATTGTTTTAAACTACATTTGAGCGCTTACCACTCAAAAATGTTAACATTGATTTATCATTTTACTCAAACTGGCACTGTTGGTTAACATGCGCTGTGCAGCACTAAATGGCTTCGTTTTCCAACACTGAAATGCGCAACACACACAAGCACCCCGCTTCCCGCTTTGCCTAAATGTCATTATTATTTTTCGAGTTTCATCCACAGCCACAGTGCAAATTACTGCCGCACGTTAATAAATTATAATATTTAACAATAATAATACAAACTTAAAGCTAAAACATAGCTTTAAACGTTCATCAACTTAATTTAAGTGTTAAAATAGTTCTAAAGTGTCATTAAATCGCAAAAAGAAAAAAACGAAAAGCAAATACAAATACAAAACAAAGAGCCTAAAATAAATCAAAAACCCTCTCAAGGCACGCAGCTAAGAAGAGGTCGTCGTCGTCGTTGTGCTATTTGTTGTTTTTTGTCAGCGTCACATGCGCCTCTGCCATTGCTGTTGAATAAGTTTCACATGTGCAGCTAATGTGCATACCCTATAGCTGCATTGGCCTGCTGCATGCAAACTAAAGTACAAAAATACATTGCGAAGACTTTAAAGGTGAGTGCGCGGCATCAATACAGAATATACCAGCAACAACAACAAAAATTGAAACTGTTATGCCATATGCGACAGTGGCGTAGTCTAACGGGGGCCAATGGACGGCAGAATGAGTCGAGCGGACGAGTGAGCGAGAACCTGATTTGATCAAATTGCAGCTGCATTTTATCGAATTTCAACTGTAAAAACAACCACAATATAAGAAAAACTAGAAAAGTGCAACAAGACATTTAGATATATGGTATATATGGGCAATTGGTAGGGTGCATGCAGCGAAAGGCATAACTCCCTTTTGGTGGTTGCAATTCGCCCCTTCTTCCTTCTGCCTGTCACAATTTGATTTAGGCACGTCGCCTTGTCTCGCTCTCCGTCTCCGTCACCGTCACCGTCTCCTTTTGCTTTTACTGCTACTTCTACTTCTACTTCTTGCGCTGCTGCATTGCATTTTAAATTGCAGTTTACATGTTGCTAAAAACTCCGCGCACAATTGCAAGACAAAGAGACACCATTTGTTTGCATTGTGTTGCCAATAAAAATATTTGCATTGTGTTAACGCGCTCTTTATCAACCATTGCAGCTGTGCAGCGACAACAACTGAACTGACTGAGGATCAAGCAGGATCATGCAGCATCATGTGCATGCGACTCGGGCAGCTCCACACTTACGGCATCACAGTCATCTGGCGATGCCGTTTCCCAGCATGGAGCAACAAATGTTGAGCACACTAATAGCAACTGCACCAGAACAACAACAGCAACAGCAACAACCACAGCAGCAGCAACAACAGCAGCCGCCGCCGCCACCGCAACGGGAACATGGACGGTAAGGAAAGCTATGTATGATGGAGGCAATGCTCTTAGCTTATTTGGGTAAAGACGCCGTCTTGTCTAGGCTCTTGGTCTTCTTTCTTACGTACGTTGCGGCAATTATGTTAATTCCTGTCACTGACAATCGCCTGTGAGACTCATCATCCCATTTTCTCAACTCATAAATTATAATTTCAGTGGCTCTTTGTTCTTTAGCGCTCAGCATGACTTCCGCTCGATAACGGGTTTTCCAGCGACAACAGCAACAACATCGGCAGGCTACAATTATCCTTGACGTTCCTTAGGATTCGCCAGTTTCTCTCATTTTATTTTTTTTTATTTCATTTTTTGCTCAGTTTGTCGCCTTTTGTACGATCAGATGTTTCGCTCAGAGTTCAACCTAATCGACCCGCCGCCAGTTGCTCTGCAGTCGCTGTTTGTCTCGCATCCGCTGCGAACGTTTCGAAGTTAACGTTTTGTTTAATGCTAAAGCATGTAAAAGACTTGTGTCAGGTGATGATGCGAGCACTATTACTAACTAAATGCTTGATAACTGCATTACAAAGTGAGCAATTACCTGGCGAATCTATTCACAGTGAGTGTGAGAGAGCGCATTTGCCTAACAATGAGTTCGGGCAACAGTTGAGGAAGTGCAGTGTGACATGTGACTAATTGATTAACATGCGAAAAGTTTTGATCTATAATCAATGCTTCAAGTATTGTTGTATAACATTCTTGCAGATTCTCAGACCTTTAAGGTCTGTCAAGTAAAAAGCTGTCTAAAAAGTTTCTCTGAAATCGCATGGAATTTCATAAAATTGTTAAATTTTTTTAAAAATGATATGAAAAAGATGGGTTCATATACATACTTGTGTAGTGCTTAAACTTTTACTTTTTTAGAGAGAATTCAAATTGTATAAGGAACGAATACTCCCTAAAAGCAGTCTGTCTTAAATACTTGATTAAAAGAGCACGTCGACAGCAAATTTGTAATCAAGTAAGATATATAAAATGTCCTTTAATTATCACATGCAATCATCATTTTAGATTCATGTATTAAATGCAAAAGTTGGGGATTTGTCCCAGTGTCAAGCATCTTATATGAATACTATCTTCTTCGAAAACTAACTTCTGTTCCACTAGAAAGTTTCCGAACAACTGCTGTAAATTTTATAAAATATCAACTACAAACAGTTTTGCATCCTGCCTAATTTCACAATATTTTTAAATAATCCAATTGAGAAATGCATTCAGTTCCGTTTCCTGTTTATTTAAGCACTGCAGTTCAGTTAAACCGCTTTGTTTATGCTCAACTCGCTGTGATAATTTCCTAATAGATTTAACAATTGCAAATTAACTCGACCAGTGAGTGCCCAATGCACAGAGGTTTATTGGCCAAGAAGTGGTCATCCACAGATTTGCCGGATTTCCATGTGTAAGCCCATTCTCTCTGTCTTCCTCGCTCTCTCTGTCACTCCCTCTCGTTCTCTCTCTCCTTGGCTCTATCTAGCTTTTGGGTAGGTGCGTCTCAATTGAAGCTGACAGTTGGCGAAAAATGACACGATGCGTAAAAGAATGCGGCTTTTGTGCTTTGTTAGGGATTTCTGCCATTGTTCAGGCCTTACCGCTGTTGTCTGTCGCTGCAACAACAACAACAACAACAACAACTAGGGCCATGGCGCAAAGGGTGAACCGCTGCGTTGCCTTTGACCGTGTGTTTTCTTTTTGTTTTGTTATTTTTGTTTTCGATGGCCACTCAATATGGCATTTTATGTACTTAGCCCCAGCACTCTGTGCGCGCTCGAGCAGTTCAAGTTTATCATTTCACAAGTTTAGAATAGTTAGAGAAAACCAAAAAGTTCGAGAAAATGTTTGCGAATGTGTTAGAATATGGAATAGATTGAAGAATGAATGGATTATTATTTAAATATTAATTCTATAAAATATATTTTAGAGCATACTAATATTAAAAGTCAGATTAATACGAAATATGTTTTAAATGAATTTTCATAATTTTTGTTATTTCAATTCATTAACCTTTATAGTTTTTTCCTTTTTTTTTTTTGCTTGTTTGTTTTAGTAGAATAAACATTTATCAGATAGGCTTTGTATTGTAATATAAGATTTTGTTCACAAATGTTTTTTTCAGAATTCAGATAATTCCGTAAATTCTATATAAGAGTTGAATGTTTTTACCGTACTTTTGAAGTTGCAGGTGTTGCAAAATTTTTAGAGGGGTCTTCTGAGCCCAAACAGAAATTCGTCGAGTATTTACAGAACTGTTTCATTATAGGGTATAGACAAGTATAATTATGCTGGAACAGAATTTTTGATATCAAAATTATGGTGAACAATTGATGCGAATCCTTGAGATTATTTAGCAAATGCTGATGTTTCTTTTATCAAAGCCATCCATTACATTTTATACACTCTTGCAGCCTGAATCATCATCATCATCAGCAGCAGCAGCAGCAGCACCAGCATCATCATCATTCGCATCACTGCGTCGCACCGCAGCAGCAGCAGCCGCAATTGAATGCTGCATATCACAACAACAATAGCAACAGTAACAACAACAACAACAACAACAGCAACAATACCAATAAGAACAACAACAATAGCAATCAAATGCAAAAAATACGACAGCAACATCAACATCTCAGCAATGGCCATTTAGCGAATTGCAATCAAGCACCGCCGCCAGCAACTCCACAGGGCTTCAATCATCCAACGGCGCTTGGTTATGGCCAGCTGCCACATCACATGGCACATTTGGGCAGCTATGCGTCACAGCCACCGCCGGCGGCGCTGCAGAGCGGCAAACAGCCGCATTACTACGTGAGCAATGCCAAGCCCTCCAAGTACAGCAATGGTGCCAACAATAATAGCAACGCCAGCAATAGCGGGAGTGGCAACAGCAGTAGCTATGCCCATTCATCGAAAACCATTCTGCAGAACACCTATCGTCCGGCCAGGATCAATGGGCAGGCGTGCGGCTCAGCCACAGAGCCAGTAGCGACAGTTGCTGCGGCAGCGGCAACAACAGCGCCAGCTCCTGCTCCTGCTCCTGCTCCTGCTCCAGCAGAACTATCGCAGCGCATTGTGGCCAGAGGCAGCAATAGCGATAACCATGTCCTGGCCAATGAGGAGATCTGTGAACTGGCGCCAGACGTGGCGCCCAATTGCTGTGAGCCATCAACGCAATCCGCAGCGCAGACGGACGATTGCAGCAACAGTGCCGAGCATATGGATGCCGCTGGCACGTTGTCCAATGAGGATGGCAGCGCGGGGCGCAATGGCAAGGACAAGACGCCCATGTGTCTGGTCAACGAGCTGGCCAGGTACAACAAGGTGAGTAGCTAAAGTCTGTGAGTATGTAGAGAAATACTCAGATCATCTTTGTGTGCCCCACAGATCACGCATCAATATCGCTTGACGGGCGAGCGCGGTCCGGCCCATTGCAAAACCTTCACAGTAACCTTGAAGCTGGGCGAGGAGGAGTACTCGGCCGATGGTTTCAAAATCAAGAAAGCCCAACATTTGGCCGCCTCGAAGGCCATCGAGGAGACCAAGTACAAGCATCCGCCACCAAAGATACGCCGCAACGATGAGAACAGCTCGACGCGCACTCACATCACGCCCACCGTTGAGCTGAATGCGCTGGCCATGAAGCTGGGCCAGCGCACCTACTATCTGCTGGATCCGACGCAAATGCCGCCTGCCGAGCAAATGCTTCCACCCGAATATGCCACATCGTTATTGCCTACCCCGGCGCCTGGTCTACCGCCACCGCCCCCGCCGCCATTCGCATTGCGTCGCAACGCCAACGGCAGCTACGTGCTGCCAGCTCCGCCCATGCATCCGCATCATGTGGCGATGCAGACGCAACGCGCCATCTACGGCCATCAGCGTCCGTATGCGCCGAAATATCAGTCACGCTTTACTTTGGCACCGGCGCTGGGGCCGCATATGCTGGCCGGGCCGCATGGGCCCTATGCGCCCGCCCTGCCCGTGACGCCGAGCAAGATAACCCTGTTCGTGGGCAAGCAGAAGTTCGTGGGAGTGGGTCGGACACTGCAGCAGGCCAAACACGATGCGGCGGCGCGAGCGCTGCAAGTGCTCAAGACGCAGGTGAATAGCGCAACAGAGGAGGCGCTGGACGATTCCATGGATGAGGGCGACAAGAAATCGCCCATTTCGCAGGTGCACGAGATTGGCATCAGGCGCAACATGACGGTGCATTTCAAGGTGCTGCGCGAGGAGGGCCCGGCGCACATGAAGAACTTCATCACGGCCTGCATTGTGGGCTCCATTGTGAGCGAGGGCGAAGGCAATGGCAAGAAGATATCCAAGAAGCGTGCGGCGGAAAAGATGCTAGCCGAACTGCAGAAATTGCCACCGCTTACGCCCACCAAACAGACGCCCATGAAGCGCATCAAAGTGAAGACGCCCGGCAAGGGCGGTGCGGCAGCGGCGGCAGCTGCCACAGGCATGACAGCTGTCGCCATCACACCGCTCGCCAAGCCGGAGCGACGCAAGCGCTTGAGTGCACACCAAAAGGAGAAGTCAACGGCGGACCAGGATGATGCCGAGAATCCCATCACAAAGCTCATACAACTGCAGCAGACGCGCAAGGAAAAGGAGCCCATCTTTGAGCTGATCGCCAAGAATGGCAACGAGTCGTGTAGGCGGCGCGAATTCGTCATGGAGGTCACAGCCAGCGGGCGCACAGCGCGCGGCACGGGCAACAGCAAAAAGCAGGCCAAACGTAGCTCCGCCCAGGGTGAGTTGAAGTTGATTAAGAAATGCATGACGTATGCTAATGCCACCTCTTCCGTTTATATATGTAGCTCTGCTGGAATTGCTGGAGAGTACGGAGCACAGCGTTGGGGAGATGGAGCATGTCGTGGACCATAATGTGCCGACAGTTGCAACGGCAGCTGTGCCGGCAGCTGCGCTCACTATGGAGCCAACTGTCGGCCTCGAGGTGCCCATGGTCTCAACGCCTGTGGGTCCAGTGCCCGGCATTCTAATACTGCGCCAAAACAAGAAACGTAAGTGAATATTTCGTGTGGATGTGCATTACGCTCTTACTTAATTCCACTTTCACACAGCAGCGAAGAAGAAAGATGCGGTGGTTGTGGTCAAAGCCAACATGGAGACAGTTAAGGAGAAGGAGGTCAAAGCAGAGGCTGCACCAGCTGCAGGGGACAAGACTGCTCACAACAGCAACAGCCACACAAACATTAACAATAGTAACAACAACAGCAACACCAACAACAACAACAGCAGCATCAATGAGTGTCATGAGGCGGCTAATGAAAGCAGCCTGAACACCTCGTCAGGCAGCAATACGAGCGGCGTCAGCAGCAACAGCAGTAATGCGCCTGGAGCCAGCAGCAATGCCAGCGGCGGTGGTGGTGACGGCAACAACAATGCTGGCGGCGGTGCAGGCAGCGGCGGTGGCGGCGGCAGTGGCAGCGGCGGTGGTGTGCATATGAAAGAGCAGCTCATATATCTTAGTAAATTATTGGATTTCGAGGTAAGTGGTGCAGCTGAAATATATACATATATATAGCGCTAGAGTGAAAGTAACGCCTCTCTCCCCATCTCTATGACAGGTCAACTTTTCGGACTATCCCAAGGGTAATCATAGTGAGTTTTTAACCATAGTCACGCTCTCGACAACGCCGCCGCAGATCTGCCATGGCGTGGGCACGAGCTGCGAGGAGTCACAGAATGCAGCCGCACGCAATGCACTCAAAATCCTAAGCGAACTGGGCCTGAATAATGCCAAGAAATAAGCCAAACTAATCAACTGCAATTTATGTATTCTTTTTATTTTTATTGCTAAATAGCAAAGAGAAAAATGCAAAAAAAAAAAAATCACCCGTCCACAAATCAAACCTAAAAAAATTAAAAACAAAGTAAAACGTAAAAGAAGAGTAGAGAAAAAAAAACCGAAAGAAATAAACAAACGCTGTGTGCAAGAATGAAAAAAGAAGAAGATTATTAAAGAGAATGTATGCAAGAAAAGCAAAAACGAAAGGAAATCAAAGCAAGAAACAGTAATTTTTGAAATAGTAAATTATTAGTTAATACCTATTTATTTATTTATGTGCAAGTGTGCGCAATGTGCATTGTTTATTTGAATATTTGTTTTATATAAATACAATGCGCAGGCTGCATAAACTGCAGCTATATTATATTTAATTTATTTGTTGTTTAAAAATGTTATTGAACAGAAAACTGAAGCTGAAACTGAAAAAAAAAAAAAAAAACAAACAAAAATGAGAGCTATAACTAAACACAAACAGAACTAAATAAATTATCAATTAAAATGTATAATATTGCAGCATACACACACACACACACACACTATAAATTAAATATATTTATATATATTTAAGATGAACGCTCATTAGGCACTTGAATTGAATTGATGAACAAATTGTATTAAACAAAACTAAATATTTATTAACTGCATGCGGCTGTTGAGAGGCTTATGCAGTGCTTTCAAAAAATAAATACAAAAATTTGTTTGCCACATATCTAAAAAAAAAAAAATGAAAGACTAGAAAAACAAAATTTGTAAACTGCACACGCTTGTGAAAATTTTTAATTTATTTTTTCAAAGCCAGTAAAAGGAGCATAAGAACTGCCGCTGCTTGTGGTAAAAATGTATGATGGAACTCGTCGAATAATGAATCTATATAATACTATTATTAATAATACTATATATATATATATAAATGTAACAAAATATATATATGTGTAAGCCTGAACAATAATTACAACGATCAAGCAACTAATTGTGCAGCTAAACAAATTTCTTGCCCACTTTTGCATTCACAAATTCCCGATTTTCATGATCATTATTTTGTGGATTGCAAATCGGAAGCTTGCGATTTGTTGCAGCCCAATTGAGTGCCACAATTTGTGGCAATCGAATGGCTTTGCTGTGAATTGTGGCCAATTGTGGCGGAAATTGTTCGCTTGTAGTTGATAATGAAAAAAATACAATTTACATAATCGTTAATTATTATAATTAAATGTTTAAAAACCATTTTGTAAATGCTCAGTTTTTATTCGTTTCGGCATTTGGCTTACCAAAGAAACTGAGCATCTTTATGAATAGCGTGTTGTTTAAATGTTCACCCAGTTTGGTTATTGTTTAACTTATGTTTTATTACACAACAATTCTTTACTTTACCATAAAAAAGAAAAACATACACAGACTCAGATAAACAGTTGATATATTCGCATGTTATGAAATGAAATTCTTTGTACAATAGTTTTTAATGAAATAATTAATTTGCCCAGTAAACAGCACAGATTAAGCGTTAAGTTGCATTATGTCAAATTGTATTTTGTGAAAAACAATTCTCGTCTCGCAACAATGTGCATGCTTTAACTAGAAACACAGATGAAACAACTAACTTAAAAAAAAAAACACTAAATAAAACTAAAAAATATATATATGGCAGAAATCGTATGAAATAATAATGAAAAACAAGAGTCTTAAGTCTAAGCGATTTATATAAACACTTTTAATAACACATCCAGTATTAAAACATAAAAATAATTAACAAACGCAGACACATAAATCAATAATAAGTAAATATATATTAAATATAAAAATAAATAATACGAACAAAATCTTAAATCATGCACATTGTTTGCATGCGTCGTACCCCACTCTTCCTCAACTGCCCTCACATTTTGTTAGAAGATTTTGCAAAATTAAAAGGAACACACTAAATTAAATAAAAAAAGAAAAAACACTAAACTAAAATTCTTGCAAAATCTTCACAAAAAAATTAATAAGTAGTATAATAATATAATATATATAATATAATATTGTACAACTCTATTTATAATGAAGGAAACCAACTAATCTGTTCATTAAGACCAAATACAAAACAAAAACGAAAATCAAGAAGTTGTGAGTACAGCTAATCTACATTTATTAACTTTTAAGCAACAAGAAAAACAATAAAACGTAGAAAATGAAGAAGCACAAGGTGTTGAGAAGAGGAACAACAAGAAGTGTTAGTGTTAAACGGTAAAAAAAAGTCTTGTCTTTTGTGCGAAAAGAAATACCTAAAAGAAATTACAAACTATATGACTATATGTAAAATGTAATACTTGTAATAAACATTCAAATAAAGTTGAAAATGGTCTTTGATTTTAATAGAGCTGTCTTTTTATAAATATTAAATGGGTAGAAAATGGGACAAACATATTATTTATAATAATTAAAAAAAAAAGAATTCTTAAAATACTTGGAAATAACTCAAACCAACAAACCTATCCAGTTGTGTATGAAATTCGATTATTATTATTTTATTATACATAATACGAGCCACCGAATTGTTTTTTATTCAAGCTAAACTTCATAAAACTTTTATACACACCCAATTTTTTTTGTTTTGTTAGGGAGTTTGTGAAATGTATCTATAAAAATCTGCTGATTTATAAACTGCAAAGTCTTGAATTTATGGCACCTCTTAATGTAAGCCATAAAAAATCCGACTTATGTAATTGATAATAAAAATTAGTGAAAATTATTTCTAAATTCACAATCAAATTTGGTGACAGCTCGAACACGCGGAAGGCTGAACAAAGAGCTGGCGAGAGAGGTGAAAGGGGGGCGAACAATTAACGCATCTTAATTTGACGAACATTTCACAATTTTGAAACTAAACGTTGAACGTTGAAACGTTTTCCATAATTGATATGCTTATTGGCTGCGATATAGATTATAAAGATTATCTGATTGCCATGACTAATATCGCAAAATATTTTAATTGACGTTGTTATCGGGTAGAGAAAGAGAGAGAGAAGGAGGGAGAGAGAGAGAGAGAGAGGGAGAGAGAGGGTGAATAAAATAGAGATAGAGGAAGGGAAAGAGGGAGAGATGACAAAAAGAGAGGGGAAAGAGACAGAGAAAGATAGAGGCAGAGAAAGAGACAAAGAGCGAGGGAGGCAGAGACCGATCTGAACTTCTTCACAAGAAGAAGGATAATGTATATATAATATATTTTAAAAGTATTTCCGACTACAATTTACTATTTTTCGAAGATTACAGTTCCAACTACGACTCTCTTTAAATTATTCAAAATATTCTTAATAACAAACACAAATTGCTTAAATAAATTGAATAAAGCATAAAAAATGTCTGCTTATTAAATAATAAACCACTCTAGACTGTATTGAGTCACTGATGTCTGTGATAACGCTTACAGCATCAAAATGAATTCAGATCCATTAATATTACAATACATATTGTTTTTCTAACTTTTGAATATATTATGTATGTATTTGAGCAAATAAACATATTCGTTCCAGATTTCCAGTAATACCCATTGCGTCGCTGGGGCTTGGCCCCTGTTACGGCGCTCCGATCTGATCGATTGCAACTAAATGTGGAGTGGAGGTAGGCGCGCCGCTTGCAGCGCCTCATGCTCGTTGTTTCACTTTCTCCGCTGGCATTTTGTGTTTTGGCTAGCGATTAAAATACAAGAAATTGTTGCTTGGTGGCCAAATGCATAATCAAAACATAAACTTAAATAAATGCCTTTATGCACATGCTAGCCACGATCTCTGCACTGCTCCAGCTTCCAACAACCAATGCGAGACCCGGCTAAAAAATAATATGAAAAAAAAAAATCAAAGCGCTGTCCGCGCATTTGCATATGCGAAGCGACTGCACAGATGCGCAGCCGGCTAAATGCTCTACCTGTGCGCGTGTGTATGTGTGTGTGAGTGTGGAGAGTATGTGTGCGTGTGTGTGATTAATTTATGGCGCTGATAATAATCCGGAGCCGGCAACGCCAAGCTACAGCGTGTGATTATGAAATTTGTGTGTGTTTATTTTTTTTTTTCGCCAAAAGAAATCAATAATACGGCGGAGGAGTGAAAGATGTGAAAGACGTGAAAGATACGAGACGAGAAATTAACATGTGTTTGTCAGCGCCGGCAAAGACATTAGTAATCGCATACCCACACACACACACACACAGACACACACACACCAGATATATAACCCTATATATGATGTAATAGGCATTTGAATTTGTCAGCATGCGCGGGAATTGGGTTTTTGGTTTTGATTTTAGTCGAGAGTTTTTGGGTTTTTGGAATTTCTTCTGGTGCGGAAATGGAAGTTGAACTTGTTGTAATTAAAAACCAAATGCTAACTATGAATTTAAACGACATTTTTGATGCATCGTCTACATATAAATATCGATTTTTATATATATTTTTTGTTGTTTGTTATATAAAATGGGAATTTGAGTGTTTTTTTTCGTTTACTTTACAAGCAGAAAATTTTAAGGCGTTAGCCAAATGAAAGTGAAACTTTTTTCTACCACAAACTGGAATATCTATACATTTCTTTTTGATGCGCTTCTTCGTCTTCTTCTTCTCGTTCGATTATAACATTTTTGTTGATGCGCGCTTTGGCTAATTTTAGGATTTTGATTTAGGTTTGGATTTTGATTTATCTGCATGTCTGGCTTAAAGCTATTTATCTACTGATAATTTTGGGCTTTGACAAGCATTTAGAAGCACATGCCCATCCGTCTGTGTCGGGCTATGGGATGCCTATCGCTTGTAATCGTTTGAAGCTATCGTTTGATAATAAGTCTTGGCTCAGCTGCGTGCGGCTGCATTTCTGTATTGGATTAGTTTTTGGCCTGGCGTGACCCGCATCATCATCATTTTGTTGAGCTGCATGCGCTCAAATTTCTTTTAATCATGTCTAATGAGCTGGCAGCTGGAGCCACCTGCTGCGGGTATTTGGCATTGTAGATGAAGTTTGGCAGGATTGGTGGGGAGGACATATTGGGCATAGATGGAAGATGTGATTGATATGCTACTCTCTTCACATCAGCTCTATATTATAAATATAAGCTTAAAGTTTTGGTTCTTAGGCATTATAGCATATATGTAAACTTAAACTTAAGGAAATTATTAAACCAACCAAGGATGAATAGGATATTATAAGAATAAAGGGTATATGTTAAAAGAGTATTAAACATATATATTTTCTACCATAATATATAGCACATGCCTAATATATTATTTATCGTATAAACTTATACTTTAGAAATTCTTGATACACTTTTCGCATAAATCCAAGATAAGCTGCAAAAGTAAGTCCATTGCTCAATAAGAAAACTTGCCTAAAAAGAGAAAAGAAATAAAATAATATGAATAATAGTTATAATTATAAAATAATAAAATATATATTTTTTTATTTTTAATTATTATTATTATTATTTTTTTTTTATTTGCAATTTGTCTTGTACAAAACAATAAAATATGAATCTAGAGTATTTCAACTCTGACATGCCTCTCCAGACCTTTCCACATCTCTCCCGCTTTCTCTCTCTCTCTCTCTCTCTCTCTCTCTCTCTCTCTCTCTCTCTCACTCTATTACGCTGATGAATGCTGTGCTTGCGTGTGTGCATGGCCAGAATATGAATTATTTATCTCAATTTGATTGTGCCTGAGTTTGCCTTCAGCCAGTAGCAGTTTGCCTAATGTGCTCACATTTGCATTTCTGTACGTAATTTGGATGCTGTTTGGCTGTTGGTTGGCTTGCCAAATGATTGACTCGATTGCATGGTTGTTTCTGGTGCGTGTCTATGTTTCCTTTGTGTCTTGCTCAAATGTCTCGGGCGACCCTCGTTTCATAGCTCTTTACATGTTTTCCAAATTCCAAAAAATACTTCATCTTCTCTACTTCCATGTTAACTTTGAAATTGTCTGTGTGTTTTATTTTTAATTTAATTAATAGCGATAAAAAATGTCTTGTTGTTAAAGGTCAACTTTAAAGCGAAAAATCTGAAATTGTTCATGAAACAGATAAAAATAAAATACAAAAATAAAGAAATAATGAAGTGAATAATCTTTGATTAAGTTAGCGTAGCTACATTTTAACTATGTTTATTTTATAAATTGCCTATACATTAATTTCTTCTTCTTCGCCGTCTTCTGAAATTTGAATAATTAGTGCGCTTAAATATATAATAAACACTATAATTATGAAACGCATGCAGGAAGCGAATTACAATAAGCAGAAAGAGAAAAGAAACTTTAGATAAATAAAATCAAATAAAATAAAAAACTAACGCACCCACATTCGCATAATTAATAAGATCAATTTATATATATATACACATATATATATATATATATATATATATATATGTATGCATGGACTTAAATTATGCCTAAAATATGTGTGAAGTGCCAACAATTGGATTACTTTTGAATTGAAGTACAGTGAAGCACTTGAATGGAGAACAGAGCAGCAAGCTCTTAGCTCACTCGGTAGGCGGTCTAGCCAGCTCAGCCAGCTCAGCCAGCTCCTAGACTTCTTCTTTATTTTTTTTCCTTTAGCAGACAATCAACAGTATCATTAATTTCAATATCGAACTGAAAAATAGAGAAATAAGTTTTGCTACAAGTGCTTGCATAACGATTATTTATATACATACATATATACATACATATATAGGTATATCTCCCTCGCACAGGTATTTTGCATAAAAACGAATGTCTAGCGATCAATCGATCGATCTATCTATCCATCTATAGTTATGTGTACGACTGACGGATGCCACGAAATATACTAATAATAAAGAAACTCATTTATATAAAAGCAGCACGTGAATGCTTTTGTTTGAATGCAAGCAAAATAATACCCTGGAAATGTGTTGAAGTGGGTAGATGCGTTAATGTCTAAAGAAAAACCTTCTATTATTGAAATAGATTATAAAATTAGCTGCGTTGCGCGCAACTGATAGCATAATACTCATTCACGCTCTAGAAAAAACCTTAAATAGATTTAAAACTCTTTATCAATTTGTCATGCAATCATTTTGAGGCCCACCTATAGGCGTGCCTAAGTGGGTCAATTATGATCGAACTGCACAGCTTTGCGGACACAGCTCTAAATGTGTTCAAGATATAATGAATATTACGATTGGCCTGCATACAGTTGGGAAGAAGCAAGGGAATGGATAGATGAATACTTGAAAAATAATAAATAAATAAATATCTAGTATATCCTTGCATGCAATCTGGAATTTTCCTTTATAGATATGATGTGACTATACAAGAAATTTCGATTTTAGTCCTAACAAAACTTTCATATTTATAAAATATGCTAAAAAGAAGCTACTGATAGATCTACAGAGAGATAGAGAGACAGAGCTATAAATAGATAAGCAGATACTCTAATGGATAAGGCAAAGTTTTCTACATTAGAGGCTTATAATAATAATACAAAGATAAGATTTTACTAAAAAAAAATATATATATATATATACAGGGCAATTGCAATGCTCATACATCCAATTAGTTATATTTGCGAATTTTTTGCACTCTTCCAATATATATGTATGTACACCCCTATTATTTTTTGGTTTATTTTAAACGGATTTGTCAATAGAGAAGAAGATGAAGAATGACAAATTTGCCAATAAAAGAAAACATATGAAGTGTCATGTTTATAGATAAGGCACACAAAAGAGCTGAACAAAAAAAAAAAATAATAAGAAGAAGAAGCAGCGCAGAAAACATTCAATTTAAACAAAATAAAGTAAAATAAAATAAATAATCAAACACAATGGTTTGAATTGGTCTTAATGGCAATAATCATGGTAATGAGAACTGAAGCGTGCATAATTAAATTGCGCTCACTGTTTTTTTTTTAATTTTTTTTTTTTTATTGATGACGCTGCCCAAAGAATGTGATTATAAGTAAGGAATAATTGTATAATAGATAAATGTATATGCTGCTGCTGTTACTGTTATTGTTGTTGCTGTTGTTGTTGTTGTTCCCTTTGTCGTTCCATCTATTGCTGCGAAAATTGTTGTCGTTCCATCTATTGCTGTCCAAATCTGATATGCTGCAGCTCCTGTGCATAGTCGGCAGGAGCCCAGTTGCCAAAGAGCGCATCGCCCATGGCTATATAGGCACGGAATAGAGTGTTAAAGTTGACAACGGGCTTGTCCTCCGGCTCCTCGTCGTACTCGGCTGCCACGTGTTGTAACAAGTTGAGGCATAGCAGAGCCGTTAGGGCCAGCAATAAACAATGACTGTGTAGCTGCCACATGCTCGAGCAATTCCAATTGCAATATCAATTGCAGCTGCGGCTTTTATAGCGCAATTGCATGTGCCAATTGGGCCTAGTGTTGTCACAGTTGGCCACAGAACAACACCATCAAATATTGTTGTTAAAACATCAACAAGCGGATCAGGGGCAATCGATGCTTAAATAGACACATTTCTATGCTTGTTCAGTGGAGGAAGCAGCAGCAGCAGCAGCGGCAGCGCCAGACATGACATGGCACAGCCAACGCCAACGCCAACGCCACAGCCAGAGCCCCAGTGCCACCTGCTGCCATTAATCATGCTGGCCAAAAAGCCAAGTGCAGTCAGTTAATTGCCTTAGCCAAGTGGCTTTAATTGATCGCACGAGCTTTTGTTTAATTATAAAATGACTTTACATTTGGGTCACACGATACTCAAACGCATTTTCAAATGCGGAAACTATCGAGCCCCCACCACGTAGCACCCAAAAACCCTACTATAACGATCGACCCTCCTCTGGCAGGAGCCTTGAAAGCCAAGCGCGATATAATAAATTATTTATTAGCATATTATACTAAATATAATAAATTTTGCAGTGCTCGGTGTCGCATTCTTCTGAAATACATTTTGTTGCCTGCTTTTGGCCAAGTCGTGAGTCGTGAGAAAGATGCTTGGCCCAATGAAAATGAAAGTCAACTTCCCATCGGCCAAAAGGGGCACAAGAAATGCAGTTTTATTTTTAAATATGTTGCTGTGGCAGCAACAGCAGCTTGTCACCGGTTTACAACCGGAGCAACAACAGCAACAGCAGCAGCAGCATCTTCAACAACAACAACAATAAACAGCAGCAGCAGCAACAACAGCTTCATCATCAGCTCACATAATACGCAATCGATTGTTATTTTATTTTATTTCGTTTTGTCTTGGCGTTTTGTGTGTGTCTTCTTCTTTTACGCATATTATAAGACAGTTGCTGGCGCTGCCAAATATTTGGATATCTTTGGCTTTCCAGTTCAGTTCAGTTCAAGTTCGCGTCTCGAGCGGTTAAGTTTCGAGTTAACGCGTCAACCGGCCAAATTCAAATTCCCCTACATATAAAACAAAATCAAAACGCGTCCAGCTGCAGGACTCTGAAAGGATATTAGCTCAAGCTGGATTATTATTTTGTGCTGCTTCGTTGATTTGTGAAGTTGTCTTTAAAAAAGTGTTTGGAAAAAAAAAACGAAAAGAAAAGAAAAAGTCAAATACAGTGAAGTATTTAAATAATTATTTAAGGTAAATGAAATTGTGCATGGAACTAAATCGAAAAAATGAAATAAATTTATACACAACAAAAACAAAACTTTATGTAAAACTCTGTGAAGTGTGCAGAATACAAAGAAATCACTTGAGGACAAAATCAAAATTTAAAAGAAATTTAATTTTTTAAATGTTAAAAAAATAAGCCAATTAATTTGGATTCGATTTGAGTTTGGATGGCTACGGCAAATTGTAACTTTGCTTAAATTTAATTTATATTAAACTATAAAAGAAAGTTATATATTTATTTTTTGTGATGTAAATGCATGGCATAACTCTTAATATATTTAATAAATTTAAAAATGTGAATAAGCATTTGGTTATATAATACATAATATCTATTTATATAGACACATAAAATAATAACAATTTTTATATATTTTTATTTTAATATATTTTTGGTTTTGATTCTGATTTAAATCATATAAATTAAAAAGAAATTATTTTTATATATTTTAAAATTTAGTCAATTTAATATATTTTTATATATTTATAATTATATTATTTTGTACAATTTTAATATAGAGTTATATTTTTTATTCACTTAGAGCCATTAGATTTTTTTGCTTAATTTAAATACTTGATATATATAGACAGTATAAACATTTTTATTTTAATAGTTAAAAAAAAATTGTTATTGCCTTCCTTTAAAATTAATTTGTTCAATTATCAGCGAGCAAAAAAATTAAAAATTCAAATATTTATCAAAAATATAGGATATATATTTAATAAAATTAGGACAGTTCAATCCAAAAAAATATGCAGCTCAACAGGTAGATAAGTCATGAGGCCTCGCTTAAGTCTAAAAATAGTATACAAGCTTTATAAATGTCAAAAAAAAAATATAGAACAAAAAAAGGTATATAAGCTAAGCCATAAAAGTGCCTCAATTTGTAACCCCTTGCCACACATTTGATATCAGCCCACACCAATTAATATCATAATGCCAGCCATTCAGGCTGATGTTCTCATTAATGAAGATAACCAGCGCAATGTGAATCATCGCAGAGAGAGAGAGAGAGAGAGAGAGAGAGAGAGAGAGAGAGAGAGAGAGAGAGAGAAATAATGTGAATTCATATAAAGTCAAAGCATTTATCAAGCAGCCAAAGGCAGAGATTCTTCTCACATCTGACAGCGACTCAGAGTGTAAAAATGGCCAAGATATTTATCAAATAGAAGAGCCAGCTTGTAAGTCGCTCAATAATTAGTCAACACACCTTCGACTGTCTGCACTTGATTGTATTGTAAATTTGCTAAATTCTTACAAATGAAGCCAACATTGCTCAACAATTGAAGCTGGCTGTTGAAAGCAATGCGGATACAGAATCGATGATGGTTAGACACAATGCGATCAGCACTATTTGAAGTGGGCCACATTTTCAGCTTGTGTTACGCACTCAATTAACGTCAGTTTCGGCCATAATGACAGCCACTTGGGCTCGGGCTGCGGGCCAATAGACCAGCATCTATGTGAAAATCCCCAATACATACAAGTACATCATATCAAGAGAAATACATTTATTTCTATATTGTGTTTAGCTATTATTGTGCACACTTCACGCTTGATATCATTGAAGTAGACTCGTTTCGTTTGGGGCATATCCTTAAGCCCAGCTTCAGAAATTCCCATTTGATGACGTACAGGTTGGCTAATTATAGAAATTCTATAATTAATATAAATAATATATATATATATATATATAATATATAAATAAAAAATAAATTTGTTTTTGTAGCTGTATGTTTATTTAAGCTGCAGATCTTAAACAAACAAGTGAAATAGATATTTTGAGATGTCATCCTGTTGCTCTTGAGAGCTGAATCTGAGAAGTTGAGAAGTTGCTTATGATTTTCTATCAAAATGAGTTCGTCAGAGTCTAAAGTAAAGCGAAACCTGTTGTTAAACAAATGAAGGAATCATTTTTGAAATATACGATATAAATATTAATTTATATATCAATTACCTGATCGACAGAATATATATATTAGAGAATCCTGGCTGAGGCCTCAAGTTTCTGCTCCTTAAAGTTAAGAGAAACACTTGCTAGACAAAAACTATGAGAAAATCTTCTAGAAAATGAAATACAAATATTTATATGTATGTAAATACATCAACAATTCTATTTACATAATCATGACCAGAGATCCTTAAGCTCATGCCGTCTGCTTAAGATTTGAAGAACTTCCAATAGGCTGACTCTGACAGTGAAGTGGTATTTCTCTCACGGCATATCCCAATCAGATTGCTATAATTAAATTCTAAAGTAAAGCGAAACCAGTTGCTAGACAGTGACTGCGGGCACATGGAGATATCGTTTAAATTGTATTTAAGATTTATGGTTGCGATGCGCCAAAACGTGCTGCTAATTTATTGCCAGGCGAGACAAGAAATCGATATAGCAAATGGAAAAATCAAAAATATAAAATGAATATGATTAACACTACAATTTGAGGAAATAGTAATTACAGATTACACAATGCGGAATCAATGCACTTACAGCAGTTCTTAGCTCGCATTCAAATCGAGTAAAACAATAAAAAACTAATTTTAATTTGTCAGCCTCTGAGTTGAAGTTCAAGAAATGATTCAAATAAAGCGATTTAATGGCCATAGCCATTCACTTTTGAGGCCGCCTGGCGCTGTTATCTATTTGAAAATAATATATATATTTATATTTATATATATATACATAAATGTGTGTATGAATATATAAATGTTTTGCTTTCTGGTTACGCATCTTCTTCTACTACTTCGGCAGCTTGTCTCAGCGTATTTTGATGGATCATTGAAAACAATGTGAAGTAAAACAGTTTTTCAGCTCGTAAATATGATGTGAAATATGATTGAAGATGATGCGGCTAAATTGTTTGCCTATGAAGAGGGAATGCTTCCTCATTGTCAGCGGGCATTGTGGCAGTCGCTGCTGCTGCTGCTGCTGCTGCTCTTGATAATGACCCTGAATCTGTCGAATGTACGTACATATCGTAGATTGTTACACTTTGCTCTTGGATTGTTTTTAGTAATTGTACATCTGCATTTGCATAATGGAATTGTAATGGAGGTTAAGTCATGAATGTCTTTAAAGGTCTTCAAAAGTTTTCAAAGGTCTTCAGAGGCCTCTTTAAGCATCCTCAGAATACGCATTCTTCGTGCAGTCATTAAAATACAATTAGTTGTTGCCTAGATAGTCATTATACAAGATTATATGGCTTACAGTTTATTGACATCGGCATACAGGTTATTGGCTCGCTATATCTGTCTACTATATATACTTATTTTATTTTTATTTATTTTATTTTTATTTCAAGTATGTCACAGCTAGTGGGACACGCCTTCAACAAATATCTAAATGCTTAATTGTCAACAAATTAGTTTTGCTTGGCTCTTTCATACATATTTTATTGAATAATTTTTACATCATCGTCGGAAATCAAGGCAGGTTATATAATCGATTAAGTTATCTCAAATGGACAGTTAAAAGTGGCAAATAATTAAATGCTGATTTCTTATTATATTTGATTTTATTTTCATTTTACTTTTCTTTATTTTTATTGATTTTATTGATTTTCTTGTGATTTATTTCTATGGCCGCTTTGTTGGCCAAACAAAGCCAACAATTTAGCGCTCTTTAGCTTGGCAAATTGTGCACAACTACTGTTCATCAATATACATACATATATATACTTATATAGAGAGATATCTATCTATTCATTAAGTTTGCCGGCAATGCTTGATTTATTCAATTCAGTTCTTCAATTTCATTTCGCGCACTTCATATGACATGATCCATACAATGGACCACTGTGCGGCGCGCACACGAGTGCACCAATGCCTTTTGGGCCTTTTGTTCAATACCCTGCAGATATTGATAAGAGGTTTCTAGGGTATATTTGTTTTGTTAAAAAGGTTTAAAAGAGACAGCAGAAAGTGTGAGTGGAGTAAACACAAATTAAATACTATATCTAAATATATCTTAAATACTAATACTAGATATATTCTATCCATCTATTGTCTGTCTATCTGTATCTAAAAATTAAAATGTATATATAGATACTTAACTTCAGTGAATATTTAAAAATTTACCTTTTATCTCAAATTTCCCTTGCTAAAGCGTTCAGCTCCTCGTCCAGGGTATCTTGTAGTTCGTCTTTTTTCTGCTATTCAATTCTCTTGGGCTACCTTATACGATCCTCAACTACAATTGCAGGCAATTTCAGGGCAACAAACACTAGAGAAACTGCACAATGAGCCAAGCACGACAAGTGAGCAGTTGGCAAGTTCGTTGCCTAAGTCTTTTGTTTTCACCCAACTACAAATAAATAAATAATGAAAAAACACAAATGAAATGACATTAATGATATGCAATATACAGTCAGTCTGCCAAGTGTACTCATATAACAATCAAATAAAAATCAATATTAATAAATATCTACAAATACATTTCCACAATTTATACAACGAGCTGTCAGAGATTTGACCTCACTCGAAGCTCGAAAATCCATTTGAATAATCATCAATTAGACGCATTCTGAAATACCGTTTGATAGCTCAAATAAACAAATAGGCTTTTGATTAATGACAGATTAAACAATAAACAAATTGCTCACCCTCACGGCACGGCTTCAGTTTGGGTTTCAACACGTGACACGACGCCTGTCAATATTGCCAGAGAACAGATTTACGCTTGGCCATTCGAATACTTGTCCAAAATGTAGTTCAAACGGAACTGGTGAATGTGAATTGAAGGTCAGCTGTCAGCACAGCTGCTATGGGCATGCATTTCCTTTTATTGAGTTTCCAGTTGGAGATAAGCCATCGATACACTTTATGAGTCGCATGAGTCGCGAATGTATGGCCAATTGATGAATCGAGCACGGGCTCCCACGCAGTGGCGGCTAATGTTGTGCACAGTGCCGTTAAACAGTCGACGCACCACTGTTTTAATTAAATATAAAATATATACATATATATAACAGCTATAATAAATAAATTTGGTTACGTCGCTTCTGCGCGCCGAGTGAGCCGAGCTCGGGTCACGCCTCGATTTGAACTGTGTCGTGGTTTATGCTAATTCAGTCGGATCTTGCGTCGCTTTATATTCAAATGTTTTCAACAGCATGTTCGTTTTAATCAATGAATGTTTATCGATTCATAATTTATCAATCAGCCTAATGCATAATGTTTTGTAAGCGTGCAATTTACATATGATTTAAACATTTTGCTTACAGCATGCCCCGGTTACGATTGCCAGCCAGAGTTGGCCCACTTTCGGTGGGGCCGCTGCTGCTGCTGCCGCTGCTGGTGCTGCTCGCGTTTGACGACGCCGTCGCCCAGGGCAACTTCGAGGATGCGGACAAGGCGAACGAGTACACGGATCAGCAGTTCGATTTGCGTCACACCATACCCGGTGAGCCGGGCGTCGACTATCCCATATTGAGCGAGGTGCCCAAGACGAGTTTCGTTTGCAGGGGCCGACACGAAGGTGGGTCTACACCTCTTATACATAAACTACTGCTCCCAATTTGAGCTTACGGCATGCTAATTGAATTTGTCGCGCAGGTTATTATGCGGATGTGGAGAGTCGCTGTCAGGCGTTTCGCATTTGCGCCCACACCGCACGCTCGGCGCAGGGCTTTGGCTTTCTCTGTCCGAACGGCACGATCTTCAACCAGCAGAAATTCGTCTGCGATTGGTATCGCAATGTGGACTGCGACCAGTCGGAGCAGTACTATGACATGAACAACGAGAGCACCGTGGGCAGCACACAGGAGATGATGGAGCGTGTGCGCCAGATGATGGAGTATCCCACCAAGACCATATCGCAAGTGCTGCAGCAGCAGGAGTTGAATCAGCGCCGGCAACAGCCCAACAGGCATCAAACCCTCAGCAAGGACCTGAGCACCGTCAGCGGTGTCCTCGACCAACCAGCGGCCGTTGCCAATGAGAAACAGACGCTGCGCGGCGAGGACATCAAGAGCGAAGCTCTGTTGGCTCCGATTGTCACAGCTGAGGCCAACGAGCCCGAGGACGGCGAGGACATCTATGTGAACAGCCTGGGTGAGCTGTCCTCCGATCCGGGCATCCAGTTCGATCACACGAATGCGCACATCATAGCCGAGTATCCGCGCGAGTATCACTATCAGAAGCAGAAGAACTTTGCGGCGCGCGTCAATGCGGGCCTCGAGCTGCTGGACGGCAGCTCAGCTGGATCCAATGAGCAGATGGCGCCCGAGTACATCAAGCAGATACGCAACACCAAGGAGGAGGCGACACAGCTGGATCTGGTGGCCAACATCAATAACTTGCTGGAGGAGGTCTCCACCGACTTGGATCCCAGCGTCTCGGGCTACCAGTCAATGAGCCCGCAGAAGGTGAAGCAACCCTTTAGATTCCTCAGTCGTGGATTCTCCATGCAGGCCAACGAAAAGGAGGCCGGCAAAGGCCACTCGTCCTATGTGTACAATAGACCCAAGCAAACGCCGGGCACGGTACGATTTACGGTAAGACTATTAATATTCTCCTTAAGTCATGTATGCCTGCTTATTTACTTATAGGCATGATCTATCTCTATATCCTCTCTATTGATCTTTCCTCATATTCTCTTTCATTTTCTCTATTTCTCTCTCTCTCTCTCTCTCACTATCTATTTGGCAATCTGTCTTCCTACTCTATACCACTATTCGCCTACAACATTATCATTTGCAACCACATCTTGATAAACCACACACAAAAACCACCAAACACCACTAAAGTCCAATGAGATACCCATTGATGCTCACAAAGACATTGACCACAAGCTTAAATTCAACAATAATGACAAAACCACAAGCAGCAGCAGCACCACCACCACCACCACCAGTACTACTACAACCACAACCACAGAAACGCCTCTTGAAACATTGTTAATTGCACCCACATTGCCGCCAGCATTCGATGAGCAAGACGCGACCACAGCGCAGACGACAGTCGAGCCAGCTGCGGACAATAGCAGCGAGCTGCCCATTATCGAGTCGATTGGCCAAGCTGCGGCACTGACGGCCAGCTTGAGTGAGGACCTGGAGCAGGCTGAGCCCGCACCACTGAGCGCCGCTGCGGCGGATAAGACGGATGTGGATCTGCAGGCCGAGAAGCTGCTGCTGGCGGGCGTCAAGCTGACCTCGCACGATGAGGAGACGGCGCTGCGGAGCAACAAATTGACGCTGGGCAAGACCACAACACGCCCCACTCGCACCACCCGCACCACGCGCACCACAGTGCGGCCAACCACGACGCCCGCGATGAGCACCTCGACGGAAACTGTGACAGAGATCAGCAGCACGCAGGAGCGCATACGCAGCTACCGGCGCTTTGCCCAGAAGCGCGTGGGTAGCGGCACCTTGCGGCGACAGGGGGCAGTGAAGCGCAGCACTACAACACCTAGCACCACCAAGGCCACAACTACAGCACGCCCAACCACGCCCACACGCAGCTATTCAGACCGCTTGGCCGCAAGTCGCTTGCGCTTGCAGCGTCTAACCAGCAAATCCGGCACCACCACAGCAGCACCCACCACCAGTAGAGCTACCACTACTGCTAGCACCACCACTGAGTCGTTTCTAGCTCTTGCGCACCCTGAGCAGAGTCCCAATAAAAAGGTATCCGTGCGGGACATTGAGAAGGAGACGGGACAGCAGCAGCAGCAACAGCAGCAGCAGCGTGCGAGCTGGGACAGCGTGCAGAGCAATCTGCAGCGTTTTCAAGTGACGCGCGGCAATCGTGTCTACACGCCAGCAACACGAGCCAGCACCATTGTCAGCACCACCAGCAGCATCACCAGCACCACCCATCGACCCTCGCCCACAGCCAGCGCCCAACGTGGACGCAATCGCCACTCTACGTACCGTACACACGCACCACAGCTGCGCACTCGCGGCACCACCACGCTACGCAGCACCACAACGACAAAAGCCACCACACAGCGCACCACACCTGCGTCCGCCGCGCTCTCCACACTGACGCAACAGATTTCCGCTTTAGCCGCCGGCTACAGCTATGCACCACCACTCACACACACACACGACTATCTAAATGCACCCACAACTGCCATACCGCTCACAATCGTGGGCAACGCCCAACAGCAATCACACTTACAGCAGCAACACATCAGCTCAACTCTTATTCCCTCCTCCGCTTTTCTGCCCTTCGATAAGCTAACGCGTGCCATTGTTGATGACTCCATTTTACAGAACTTTAAGAGCAACAGCGCGCACCGAGGCGGCAGCAGCCAGCAGCAGCAGCGGCGGCAGCAGCAACGCGTCACGAAGCCTGCAACCAGCAACAGCTATCAATATGTTAAGCCAGCAGCAGCAGCAGCTCCAGGTAAGCAGAGCAATAATATCTGACTCTATGTATTATTATGTGAATTATATTGCAGCTTTAGCCAGTTTGACCATACCACCACGCCCGCAACAGCCACAACAGCAGCAACAGCAACAGCAACAGCCACAACAGCAGCAACAGCTGCCTCCGTTGGTGCTTCCCACTCAGCCAGGCATTGTTATTGCTCGTGCCGAGGGACAACGCATTGTTCCCAGCTCTGCCGACAACATCATCTCCTCCCTGGTCAATCAGCCTCCAGCAAAGAGCAATCAGGGCAGTTCCTATGTGGCACTCAGCGATTTTCTTAACAACAAATTCGGTGCCAGCAGCAACATCAACAAACCTACGACATTGCAACAGCAACAACAGCAACAGCAGCAGCATCATCAGCAGCAGCAACAATTGCAACCTATTGAACAGTCTTTGCAACAACAAATTGTCCAGCAGCAACGTCAGCCAGTTAAACAACAACAGCAGCAGCAATTGAGCTACATTACACAGCGCTACCAACAACCTCAAAAGCAACAGCCACAGCAACATCAGCAACAACAGCAGCAGCAGCAATATCAGCCTCAGCAGCAGCAGATTCATTATCACCAGCAGCGCCAACAGCAACCACAACATCAATTGCCGCTCCAACAGCAACATCAACAGCTGCAAGTTCTTCAGCAACCACATCAGCAGCTACAACATCCCCAGCAATTCAATTATCAGACACAATTCCAGCAACAGCAGCAGCAGCAGCAACAGCAACAGCAGCAGCAGCCGTATCAGCAACAGTTGCAGCACTATCAACAACAACAACAGCAATCTCAACGCCCCTCCATTCAATCCATACAACAGCCCTACCTGACGCCCAACATTTTCGTGCCGTATCAGCAACAACAGCAACTGTTGCCGCTCTTCCCGCCGCTGGCCACAGGAGCAACAGCACCAACAACATTTACAGCAAACGCAGCTCTCGTGGTCAGAAAGAATGAGAATGGATCGCAGCTGGATCACCTGAATATTGCACTGCCAGCGCTGCCGAACGCCTTGATACCATCGCCCACATTGCAGGTACCGTCGTCCCCGTTGCAGGTGGCACAAAAGCGAAACGATGTCCAGATCGGGCGGCTGCAATTGTCGGACAGCAACGGCAAGGGCATGGTGGGTCACGGCTTGGAGGCGGCTTTCTATGCGGGTCGCACATCCTACCAGGTGCCGCAGAGCAGCGTCGGCCGCCTGCCCAACGACATAACGCACTTGCGACGACTGCGCCAGCGACGCCACTGAGACGGCCAAGAACAGGAGCAGCAGGAGACGCAGTTACTACTACAAATGCTTAAGTTATTATTTATATTTTGTTAGTTTAGGCTAATGTTAATGCAGTTGTAAATTGTAAATTATATACATATATATATATATATATATATATATATATATATATATATATATA